CCTCGGGTGCTCTCATCCTACACTACATTCACTTATTTCAATTTCTTACTTTCTGGTTCTCAAAGAAAAAGTTAAGTAGTGGTAATTGGCAAAAATGGTGTTAAAAGCTTCACCGAAATGTGACGTGCTACTCTACTCAGTAGATAGGGAGCCATTTCAGGTCTTGAAAATTCCTAGTGAGTTCATAGCTTTAATTTTAATAATTTGGGAACTGTTGTTATCTCGTTAGTGAATAGGAATTTTCCCATAATACTTAGAACATAGGAAGTGTCAGTTGCCTCTCTACTGATGCCTCTATTTGAAGCGATGGGCAGCAATAAAAGGGTGATTTTTCTCCTTGCTTAAAAAATAAAGGTACTAAAATTTAATTTCATAGATCATTGTGTTAGTACACAGAAGTTAATTTTTTCTGAAGTTATGTATGTTTTGAACTGGTTTGCTGCTAGTCTACTGGCACTTTCTGATGTTTGTGACCTTTATTAGCCATTACTTAGTTTCTCAAAAATAATAGAGCAAAAAACTAGTAGTTCTATTCTCAAGGTTTAATTTTATTACAAGAGTTCTACATTGTATTTGTTGTCGTGCCTGTACCTATTGTCTATAATCTAACATCTCCATAATATAGGAAATTGTCTACATTTTAGTAGACATTGATAGTCACGACAGTGTACAGTTGCTACATTTTATTAGCAGAGTGCAGAAGAGTGATGCAACTTTTTTGAAGTCACATGACAGATCAGTGGCAGAGGTGAGATTACATCTTGGATTCTGCATTTAAAATATGTTTGTTAAAAATAACTGAAATATGAAAGCATGTGAACATATTAATATATTACTACAAACCTATACTTGAAAAATCATCCTTTTCTACTTCATTATAGAGTATAGAATAGACATTATTTTTCAGCACTACAACTACAGGAAGGATGAAAACTACATCACTCTACTTGCTTTCTGGAAAAAAAGATTAGTCTGGTTGCTGGCTTATGAACACACATAGTTTTCCAGCAAACCAACACGGTATATTTTTGTCACCAGAGAAATCTATAGACTGCAGCAGTCTTTTGCTGTAGTCATGGGAAAGTGCTGCGCTGGTGTTATGGCCCTTCCCAAATTCACACGAGTCTGGGCCAGCGTTATGGTGTGTGGCTGTGCTTCTGTAACTATGGATTTGGCAGTTGAAGGGGTCATTGTGTTCAGCGACAGGTTTCATTACTTGTGAATTTCTTTCAGGCTCTTACCAGTTTTGGGGAGCAGCAGAAGCAGCAGAGTTCATCACCCCAAGCTCATCAGTGCGTTTTCTATGCTGTCACTCCTCCCGAGTCCAAATGTCATTGTCTGAGCTGAAACATTGTCCTGGTGCCATCTGTGCCTCTCATGGCCCCCGCCACAAGCGCTCTCCTTTCCTCCTCTTTGCTGTAACTTGCTTCCTAAGCTATCTATTCTTTTTCATAATGTTATCAGCTTGGCGGAGTTTGGCTTGTCTGATTGTCATCCTGTCACCATTGCCTAGCTTAACGGCAGTACAGTTGCTGGACGGCAAAACTGTCACCCAACAACAGCTGTGCAAACAAACAAGTCAGCATTGATATTCATCAATTGCTTTGTGCAGTCGTGGCATTGAGATACACCAGAACATGTGCAATCTGTCTGCTTTCTTTGTCCCACGGTATAGCCAGATCGGCTGCTCTGCACTGATGAGGGCGTGATTGTCACGCTGTGATGTGCCTTCACCTCTGTCCCGTTTTCTTTTGCTTTTCCTTCCTCTTTGTGGGCTGTCTGGTTGCTCCCAGGCACATCTGCCACGCGTTCCATCTGCTCTCCATGAGAGATGCGCGCAGTTCTGACAAGCAGTATTCAAGTAGTACACTGGTCTGCTGGAGACAACAGAAAACAATAATTTGTCTTATTAATGGTATGTCACTAATGCTCCCTGCTTTTAAACCACTAAGCAAAGCAAACAGCATGAAACGTTGGCTTGCAAACTTCAAAATCATCTACTCACAAGTGAACTTTTCCTACTCCACTTACCTCAAGTAACAGTGTTCTTACATTGTCTTACAGCTTGTAACTTTTTCAAGACGTGGTGTGTTTTCCTTTAAAAAATGAAACATCTTTTTCAGAAGTTGTGTTCTTTCCTTCATGGTGTCAGTGGCAAGATACTTCACATTAAGAGGCACAGGTGTATGATAAAATTGTTATTTACTATTACTTTATGCCTTTCAAGGAAAAAATAACAAACTCTCCAGAAAAAGGTAATTCTAAAGTCCAAATTAATTTAGAACCAAGATTACCCTTGCCTTTTATTCATGTCTATTGGACAGCTTATAGTGGTGCAAGTAAGGCTTCAGAACATCTTTCTGTGATGTGTAGTCACTTCCAGCAGGATCTTGTCTTGTGACAGCTCCCCTGTCAAATTTAACAGAGATCATGGGAACTCTCTCTGGGTGAAGAAAGATGATGATACACAGCATAGGCATGTATAGACAGTAAAACTGTTTTGTTTGTGGAATCACCTCTAGCTTTGGGCCAAAGATTTGTAAAGATGCGTGCTCAGAAGTTCAGTTACTAATTAGTATCTATTCACCTTTGCTGGCCTTATTAACTGTCGTGTGTAGCAATTCCACGTTTACCACACTTACTAAGTTGAAGCTAACACAGCTGTCTTGCATTACTGCCACAGAGATTTACAACATGAAGCCATGATGAACAAGGTGAATTTTACCTGTTAGCATGTTTGCCTGCAGTTTGGAATTCAGCGTAAGCAGGTGCTAGGTGTCCAAAGCATGACCAAGGTGGCCAGGATTTTATAGGGCTTGCTAAAAGGATTGTGCATGCATATAGGGGGAGAAGTGATTAATTTTGGCAGTGTCTGTTTCACAGCCTTGCAGGTCTTTTCCTTTATTCACTCCCTGCTTACTCAGAATATCACAAATAAAAAAATAAAGGCTGGAAGCCTAAGTCAAAGGAAGGAGCGAGACTAGGGAGACTTAGGAGAAAGCATTGAACAGCTTTTGGTCAGCAAATGGGGCTGGCTCAGGGTCTGTGTTTCGGTTCCATGCTTGCTAGAAACTGCTTTGTCTGTTACCTGTCTTAACTGCTTGTGAAAGCTGTTATTCCATGGTGGCTGCAGTGTACTGCGCTGTGCCGTGTTCAAACAGCTGACCTCTATGGAAGAAGTCAAGGATGGACTTGTAATATTTGTCTTACATAGCTTTTACAAGAGTGTACCTGTTTTTTCTTTTTTTTTTCTTTTTTTTCTTTTTTTTCTTTTTTTTTTTCAGGAGAGAAAGAATAGATTGGGACTACTTGAGAGAATAGTAACTGTTACGCTGCAAAACATTGTGCATGGGATCTTTAAAATAAACTATATAATCACAGCACTTGTATTTTATTGGTGTGATTTGTGGTACAGTGGTATTAACTGTGCATTAATTCTTGTAATTGTGCTTTCAGATCAGCAGCTTCAAAATTTATCAAGTTGGTATCTCAGTGCTTGAAAAGTTGTTTCAAGGAATTTTGCAAACAGACAAGGGGTGGGGGGGGGGGGCATGATTATAACAGTTTATCACCTTTAGGAAGTGTTGTTATACTGATAACAGTGTGTAACAGATGGGTGAGCTACTCCTGCAAGATCTACCCTGGGTTACAGAGTTTGAGGCATCCTCTAAAGGGTTACAGATGTAGTTAGAGTTGAGCAGTGTACTGTATCACTGTCCAGCACTTTATACTGTGTATGGTCATTCTTTTAAGCTGATCCCTGGTGTTAACTGAGTGGGATTCCTGCCCACCCCTCAGCCTTTGTAATGTGCCTTGTCAGTAGGTTCCAGCAGCACTGTATGGACACTCCCATATGAAAATAGGATGATCAAGTCAGATAGGTAATTTAAAGTTGAAGCCTTTGTGTGTATCCTTGAAAAATGTCTAGTGACACTTTTCTGTAATTTCCTTTAATACTCAGCTCTGAAGGTAGAGTTCTGAATATCTCGTCTTTACATTTCAGAAAAGTACAAAAGCAAAAATGGACCTTTTCTCTGCAAAACAGAGTTTTCTAACATGGTTAGAAAAGCTCATATACAGATCTTCTCTGTATTACAGGAACACTTTTGTGAGAGAGGAGGAATTACAGTCAAGTTATGTAAACTATATTAATACTTGATTGTTACAAGTATCTTGTTAAAATATCTGATGAATTCTTAGCTTTTTCTCCTTTGTTTGAATCTGGCTGTTACTACTTGAATTCTGCAAACTGGAGCAGTGAAAGTTTTATTACAGGTGGCCCATAAATGGATAATCCTGCGTCAGGTTGTGAATAAAGATGCAATTGTTTAATGAAACAGTTTGTCATTGACTGCTAAAAGGCCAGAAGTTAAACAAACAGCTGACAATGTAAGCGTAACTACTGGACCTGTTACTTAGCAAATTCTTGCAGTTGATGTCAGGTCCACGCTTGCCTTACATAAAGGGAACCCCTCTTCACCTCTCATATGTATCACTCATTTCTGATACTGTGCGGATCTGGTCCTTGAAACAGAACCAATCTGCTATGAGCCTATATTAAGAAATAATAAAACCAGAGGAAATGAAGTGATACTAAAGAAAAGCAGAAGACCTAAAGTTCTGCAAAATTTTCCCCTGCATTGTTCCTTGTTAATCTTTTTGGTTTGTTTACTTTGTGAGACCATTAGCTGCCATGCACTGTAGCCTTGTACAGGGAAGAAAGAGCCACTTACTGTCCTTCCCTGGATCTCGCTGGAGTGCTGCTGTGGAGACAAGTAGGTGCAGAGTGAGAGGAGCTTGTGTTGTCCTGCTCATGTCCAGGGAATGGAGTTTGACTCGCTCATGGTGGTTTTTCATATACTGAGAGGTTTTGTCTCAGCCCTTGAATTCTGAGCAGTTTTCTTCACTGTGTGTGGGGTTTGCTCATTGTAGTCGTCCTACTTGTGCTAATCTAATGGTTTTTGTGTTTTATTTTTCTCTCTCGTTTTTTAGATGAGAGATCCTCGGAGCAGCAAAATTTTTCCTTTTTCTCAATGGACTCAAAGGTGCACCAAAGCATATCAGGCAGCAGGACACAAATTACCTTAGCAAAAAATACTTTGGAGTCCCAAGAAAGTAATTTTCTTCAAACGGTTTTCTCATCAGTTACTGCTCCTTTTGATGTGACTTTATTTAACCAAGAAGAAATGGTCAGGATTTCAGAAGGGAGAAGTACGCCGTTGGTAGATGTCTCCGTAACAAGCAATGAAGCATTCTTAAGCAACGATGAATTTGTTAGCCCATTTCCAAAGGCACAGTGGACTCCTCCACTGAAGTCTTTTGCAGTTTTAACAGACCATCACTTAGTTAATACAGTAGAGCCACCAAGAGAAACATTAGAAACTGTGTTGCTAACACCTTCGTTATCTGTCTTTTTTTCACCATATATCTCAAAAGCAGCACAGGGAAAGACTCCGTTGAGTGCTGTCCCTGAACACAGTAACACTCTTCCAGAACTGAAGCCTTTTTTACCAGATAGTGAAATGCTAACTGCAAGCAGAAACTTGCTATTGTACCCTCCAAATACAGCTATTTATTTCTCTTCCATTCCTTCAGAGGCAGGAGTTGCAGGGTGGGAAAACATAAAAGCAGATTTAACAGCTCTGCCTTTTGGGGCTGCTTCAGAAGGGTCGCCTTTTCGTCTCAAGTTGCTGTATAAAACTAGCCCTGTGACCCCAGACGCCACAGCACAGAGTGCAAACCTGTATGGTGACATTTACGCCGATGCAAGTAGCAGGGCAGCAGAAACTCTCAGTCTAAGGACCTACCCCACTCCGAGCATTCCCTGGGTCATGCCAGCTTCAGCAGCCACTGCTGCACCCTAAAATGCTGAACCTCCTTTGTTTTTTATTAGTCTTCCACTTGCATCTTTCCCACTTCACTCAACTACCATTTCCACAGACTCTCATACAGTTCTTAACGCCAGTCTGTTTACACGTGAATTCTCCAGTATAACACCAAATTTGCCTGCCAGTTCAGAAATACCAAGTCAATCAGAGCTTGTTAGTAAGCTCATGAGTCCAGTGCCTTTAACGAGATCATACAGTTCTTGTCTGTATTGTGACTCAGTTTCGCTTCTGCCAGAAGCAGGCTTTTCCCCAGAACATGATGTGGGCTCAGGCGATTATGTTGAAACTTTGTCCATCAAAGCCTCTGAAGTACAAGGCATAACTCCATTTACAACTGTAATTACTGATGAGTACGAATTAGAGGAGCCTGCACCTGAGATCTTTGATACTTCTTTTCCATCAAGACCAGTAGTTTCATTTTCTTCAAGATTCGCAGAAATGCCCAGTTCAGGCATGTTTTTATTAAGCACTATGGACACTGCCCTTAACAACAGTACACCTGTAACAATTTCTCCTTCTTACCATCAGCTCTCTGGAGTAACATCACTGAACACCTCTGCTGCCCAGTTTTCCCTCCCTGTTCTGGAAACAGTGTCATTGACACCAAGCACTCTTGTAGAACTTCCTCATGCCACCACTGTTCTGTTTGACTCTACGTTTGTCCTGAGTGAGCCAATAGCATCATTTGCAGTCAGTCATACGACTTTGCTGGAGTTGCCAGAGTTAATGCCATCAGAATCTGTGGTTTTGCTTGGTAAGACATCTACGAGGGAAGAACCGTCTTTAAATGTTTCAGATTTTTCTTCCAGTCTTTTATCAACACCATTTCTTATTGAACCTAGCTACTTGTCTTTATCATCGGCCATCCTAAATTCTTACTCTGTCATGGGAAGTGATTTATCAACACTCTTACCTCAGACCTCATTAACTGGGACATCAGTACTTTCTGAGGATGTTACCAGCTGGGACTTAGTTACCGCTGTCAGCTCTGCCACTGACTCTGAGCTTTCTCAGTTCCCTCTCAACCAAGCATCATACTTTTATTTGAATGCATCCTTTGTTCCAGGTACACATGTTCCTGAAATAACGCCATCATCAGATTTTCACTCTGAGTCATCTGTGTTTCTGGAAGCACCCTCAGTATTGGCAGTGGGCTCTGAAGTTGTGTTTACCTTAGCTGTTACAGGAGCTACCTCTCAGTTGGAGCCTTCACTCTCCATCTCTCACTCCGTGGTTCCTACCTTGGTGCTGCCTGCTTCCAACACCCAGTCTGTTACCAGCAGCATCTTGCTCAGTGAAACAAATCTGATCTCTTTTTTTACTACCTTTCCGGCGACTCCTGTCTTAAATTTATCTTCATCTTGGCTCTCAACTGCTCCGGCTTCTGATGAGGATATTGGTGCTACAGTTAACCCCCCGCTGCTTTTAACATCTCGCAGTGAGAGCAGTGCCCACACAGCCCTTTCTCCTGCAGACCCTGACAACCTGATGTCACATGCTGACACCAGCAGCGTGATGCCCTCTCCTACAGCATCTCTGTCTGTGACCACATCGTTTGCTCCCACGCAATTTCCTCCAGCTTCTAGCCCTCCCACTGGATATGAAGTTCCAGCAGGAAGCAGCATAACTGCTGGTACTGATGCATCAGCTGCTCCCACCACTGTTCCCACAACCACTGCCACCAGTGCCACGGGCAGCCGTGGCACAACTACTGCAGGCAGCCTGGGGACATTCTCTTCCACCCTTCTGGCGACCACTACTCCAGCTGAACCTCTGATCCTAACTTCTGTTGTGACCACTACTAGGCAACCCTACGTCTGTGACATCACAGTTCCCGATGCTTACTTGGTCACTGCAGGTAAGATATTCCTAACGTTTGTATTTTGTTTTTCAGAAACCACTGTAATGTGACCCCCTAACTAAATTGCAGGTGTTGAATTAGCTAAGTGAACCTTTCAAATACATAGGGTGTAAATTCAGACAAAAAGCTGTAAAAGCATTGATTTATCATTTACTCTTGAAAATAATAGAATTCACTTGAACGAAGTCCATTGTGATAGTGGGTTACATATATGTTGCACTGCACAGAGAATGAAATTGTCTTCTAAAATTGCTGATGCCTATATACGAGTATCCTGAATTAGCGGCTGCTTTATTATTTCATGGGTTGTAAGTGAATGTTACTGTCATGATACTGTTATGCCAAACTGTTAAATGTTCTGACTGACTAAGTTTCTCCTTTCAGTTGTTGCTGCTGTTTGTAAAAAAACCTGCATGTGAGGTAATTTTGTAATATGAAAGAGAAGCGTTGGTTTAAAAAATGTTTGGATTTTGTTATTGTTTTTATAATTTTACCTTACTAGCTTATGTTTATATTCTCCCTCCTCCCATACTTAATTCAACTGGATTTGGTGTGTTCGTAACCAGAAAAAGTCACGTTAGTGTGTTTCAAAATTGATTGTCTCAGCACCTGTGTTTGCTTTTTTGGTGTTTTCTACCTCTTCCCAGCTTGTTAACAAAACAATAACAGTGAACTAATCCAGGGCAACTGCAAAGTGCTGCATGTTTTGTGGTAAGCAACACATTTTGCCCTTAAGATTGACTTGTAACATGTAAAGCAGAATGAGCATAATCTCATCCTCGAGATGCAAAGATGAGTTGGCTATTCTGGTGATGAGGAAGATTTTTTTTTTTTAACCTGTAATTTGAATAGTTTTGTAAGCAAGTTACTGATGGAAAGTAAATGCAGGATGACAACACAAAACACTTCAGTTGTTTCCTTGACCATAGTCACAAGTGTGACTGTAACAGACATGACTATTTGTAGGGACATGGGGTTTTTAAAAGCAGTTTCTTACTTAGTGGATATCCCTTTCAGTAATCAATGTCCTGTTTGTTTACTTTTTATTTAAGAGAAAAGCAGATGCATATTTTCCGTGGCTTTTTTCTGACCTCATCTGCATTCCATGCGTTGCCTACAAAACTTTAACTGCGTTATGACAGCAACCTTGTTGTGCACAGGTCAGACTGAACGTGCTGTGACTTTTCAGATCCAGTTTGAATGCTTCAGTGGCTCTTTAGAAGATTCTTTTACTAGAATGCCAAAGACATTAGATATGAAAAAACAAATGAAGAGAAAGAAAATAAATCTGGAGTTCCTTCAGCTGTATGCACAGTCACTTTTTAGGATACAGTCACACCTTTACCTGATTCCTTGTCCATCATCTTATCCGTTTGATGCAGTTGATCTCATTGCCTGCTTTTTCATGCATTGCACAATTGAAAATGCAGCTTTGAACCAAAGCCCAAGAGATTAAGCTAAAATGTATTTACTGACTGACATTAATTTCCAGTGCTGGCCCGAAGAGCTGTTCTACAAAATGTCAGTGAATCCATCAGAGAAGTGCTCAGAGTTCAGTTCAGGCGATCTGTAGAGCTAGAGGTAAGTGGTATGAAGTGTGTACAAGTACTCTTTGATCAATATAATACAATAGTGGGTTTAGTTCACAGGCTGAAATGGTGATTTAAAAGCAACCCATATGGTACTATGTCAGAGAGAGTTTTATTCTAACTTAAATGTTAGTAATGATTTGTATTTTTAATGTAAATATGCCATCAGCTTTTTAACTTTTAGAATGTCAACGTTTTCTAGGACAGACCTTTCTTGATTTTGCCAGGGGTCAACAAGCAGTGCCCAGCCTCTACTGCTCCCCTCCTTTGGATGGTGAATTGAAATGAAACTGAAAAGCTTTTACCCTTTGCAGTAACGTGTTAAAAAGTTTTGTTTCTTCTGCTAGCTGATTATATACTTAGCACTTTAAACAAAACAAAACTTCCGCACAGCCTTGTGCTGTTTTATGTTTTAAGTGAGGCCATCAGTACTTGCAGGGGAAATGATGAAATCCCAAATGCAGGATGTGTCAGATGAAAAAGTTGGGGGGGGGGAAATCAGGTGTGCAATGATAAGATGTTATTTTTAAGCCTTCAAATAGGTGTGACTCCTGTCCTTTCTCCACTCACAGGGCTTAGGAATTGCTGCACTCTTGGTTTTTGGTTGGTTTTTTTTTTTTTGTTTGAAAGCTTCCTTTGCTTTGTTGTTCAAGGAATCACCTTTGAACAACATTTCAGTGTTGTTTCCTATCCTCAAAGTGAGTGTCATTTTTTGAGTCTGTGATCTCATTTTCATTATGAAGTAGCAGTTTGAATTTTGAACGTAACTTGAGTTCCTCTGTGCCCAGAATCCGTTGGTGCCTCTAACTTCTGCATGCCGATCTGTGTGGGGAAACTGTGTTTTGACAGCTCCTGCCATAATCACTGCACTCAGTAATTAAACAACTCCTGTCTGATGTTGGAGAATATTCCTCTCTACTACTCAGTCAAGACAGGGGTGTTACAAATTTCTGCCAAACTTCAGCCACAGTGAGCTGCCACTATAAATTATGTTTAGTTTAGGTCCTTTTAGCAATACCTACCCATAAGCTTTTTAGGGTTTTTTGTAAATAAGAGATTTTTCTTCTGGTTTTTGAATTATACCTTCAAATTGTGCAAACTGGCATAGCCAAGTAGGAGTCAAAAGTTCATGATGATAGAACTATACTAATTTTAAATGACCTTATATACCTCTAATATGGAAGCGCTTATCCTCTTAATAGTAACAGCTGTAAGACAAAATCTATTGCTAAGTATTTGAAGGTTGATTGGAGCCCACATTGATATCTTCCTTCTTTATATTTTTGCCCTTTAAATTCCTTCTTTTCATGCTCACTATTGCCTTGTAAAGTTCTCAATAGGATATTTTGGCCCTAAGGCTTCTCAGAAGCAACTGTTCTTATAAATAATTCAGTTAATCCAGCTTCATTCTTTGCACATTCTTTTTTATCAAAAAGAGAAAACATTTCTGTGGAATCAGTTATGTTTATTTTATGCCTGAATGCTGCTATCATTTGTGTTTTCTTTATGTTGCCTTGGGTATGGGTTTTGCACTAAAAATAATCACTAGCAAATGTCTTCACCTCTAACGGTGAAGTACTAACAAACCTATTATTTTAAATAAAGCAGTGTCTATAGTATCAGCATGTTTAATGGTGATGTAATGTAAAATTTTGAACAGAATTCATCCATATTGCTAAACAGAGCTGACTTTTGTTAGTTGAGAGTACCTGGGAACCATGTGTACATTTGCAAGTGCACTTCTCTAAGCTGCTTTTTTACTGTGTGTCCTGTTGCAGCTCACAGATGTTCTTGCCTTGCTGTGTTGTAATGCACAGTAAATCAGGAGACAATCTTGATAAATTTGACTTTCTAGTAATGTACACTTTAACAAATAAAATACATGTCAACGTGGATATAACTGCTGCTCACTTAAAGTACAAAACAAGTTTAACACTGAAAGAAGAATTAAAACATTTTTCTATCCATTTTTCATTTGAAACTTTGTCTTCTTTATTATTTCAAACATTATGAATTGTTGAAGTGGAAAAAAAAAAAGGCAGGCTTGAATCCTCTGTAATGAAAAAAAAACTTCTGTCATTTTTTTTCCTAGCAAAAGTCCTTACAGCAAAGTGAGAATAACCTAAAATTTTAAAGTTCTTTCCAGGTGGTCTCAGTGTATTGCATCTGCAGAAGAATAAGACCCTATTTTTTGAATCAGAGTAATGTTTGTCAGCTTTCTCTAATGTCAGCCTTGTGACACTTGGTTAAGATCTGTCATACAATGTTCTTTTGACTTAGCTTTGTTCCACTGGGATGTGAAAAAAGTGTTGGCAGTGACTCACTTCCAGGACCCCTGATGCCATTAAGTTCATGCCAACAGGAAACAACTTTTTGCCAGCCTCATTTGTGCTTTGAAATTTTATCATGCGGTATACTTCAGCCATCCTTGCTGTATTTGATGTGGGATTTTGGGGCTGTCCTTAGCACGTTGGTTTCTATAATCCAAAATCAGTAAACCTTTGCCTCCAAATTAAGATCAGTTCACTTGTCAGGCAGTTAGATACTTCTTTCAGAGATGCCACCTTGTGGACTTGTGCTGGCTTCATCGCTACTCACTGCTGCTGAAATTCTGGCTGGTACCGTTTAGGTGTGTAAAAACTGTGAGAGAATTCTTGCCTTAGGATCCTAATGTGTGTAGAAGCAGAAGCTTTGTTTCATTTTTAAGACCTTGTGTGCCTTTGTAGACCTTCTTCAGGAATTTAAACGCTCTCTGCAGGCTCTTTATGGGATGGTTAATAAGGTGGTGGTAAGGAAATTGGTTGTTTATGCTTCCTGCCAGGTGTTTACACAGCATAATACAGTGGAATGTAGGCATGGATTAGATTGTAGCAAAGATGCATCTAATCAAATATTTTAGCAGACAATAATCAATAGCAAATGCTTAGAGAAGATCATAAGGGACAGAATAAGCATACAATGATGCTTTCCCCAAATGCTCTTCTAGCCTCTAGTAGATCAAGGCGCGGAAACTTTCTGTAGCAGAAGTGCTCTTTCTTGTGAGGGTAGCTTTGAATGAGATAGGTTTTGTTCTGGAAACAGCAGAGTTGGGTTAGCCATCACACTCTGGAGAAGGGATAGGTTAACTTGAGGTGGTGTAAGGGTTCTCTGCTCCTACTGAAGGTTTCTACTTTTGCTGTAAGAATAACTCCAAAGTGCACATGGAGTTTTGCGTGCTTCTCTGGCTTTCTGGCCTGAAGTGTTAAGATAAGAAATTTATACTTGTTTGCTTTAGTAGGTGGCACTCTCAAATGTGGTGTTTCAGCTAGCTAATTTGTTGACATCTAGCTGTCCTGGCAGTAGAGGTGAAGTCTCCCAAGAGAGGGTTGGATGGATGGCTGGGTTTGTGAACTGTTAGAGCTGTGCCAAGAGTAGCTGTTCTCATTCATGAATCAAGAGTCATGAGCTACGCTCATCTATCCTAGATAACTTTGCAAACTTCTCTGTGAATTAGCTTGTAGACAATGTCATGCTGGCATGGCTATGTTATTTCTATAATCTGAATTGGGGTTGTCGAGAGCTCACTCCAGATGACCCTGCAGTATCTCAAACAGAAACAGCCATTGTTTTGACCTGTAGTGGTTCTAATCTACCTACTATAAAATTAGATTTAAAAGTGTTTGGTTTTTTCAAAAAAAAAAAAAAAAAAAAAAAAATTCCATTCTTCTGGAGTTACTGCTGCAGTGAAGCACAGAAGAGAAACATTGTTAGCTGTTAAGACAAAAAAATTGATGCAAAATTTCAGAGAAGTGTTCAGAGTAGGCTGCTTTTCTTACATCTGTAGTACACTGCAAGACGTCAGAGGTGGAGACAGCTTGAGTTAATTACCAGAGGCTTGCTTTCTTGTCTGAAATACCTAACTCTAGTGCACAACTATATGCTGGCTACACTAGGCCTCTCAGTATATATTGCTTCAGCAATCACCGGCAAATTGTCACTGAGATGTGTAATTCTAATTCCTCTTTTTCTCGCCTTTTAAGCAGTCTCCTTTGCAAGTAATAGCCAACTTTCTTTTGGCGTGTCTTACTCGTTATAATGACTGCTGTTTCCATTTGACAAACTGAAGCTGCAGAGATAATTTCGTCCTGAGATAAAAGGATAAAATTTCAGATAAGAGGAACTGAAAAGAGCTGTGCATATTATTCATATCAAACAAATTGGAGTTCTGTGGGTTTAAATACATTTTAAATAAAAACTGGATGCTGCATATATTTATGGACTAAGAAGGAAGAAGGGAATAATGAGCAGCACAGATTTTTTTTTTTTTTTATTTCCTTTTGCTACTGAGGTATTTTCTTCTGGTGAAGATGGTCTCTTTGAAATGCGTGTGTTTTAGAGAACAGGAAAGAACTGCTTACTGTCTCATCTAAAGAGCAATTGCCATCACTTTGCACTGTTGCAGAAATACCAGTAAGGCACATGTGAGTTACAATTCAAGTAGCACTGTGCTTTTCTAAACAGCTGATCCTGAAGTTGAGGATATCTAATTTACCACTTCACCAGCACAAAGCCTGCAAGGTGGTGCTAGCATCTCTTCATCTGAGAGGTACACATTTATCAGAAACTTTGGGTCTCTGGTTTAGATTATTTATTTATTTCTGACATCATGTTGGACATCTCAAAATATTTTAGTGTGAAACTAAAACACAACTATTCTAGCTACTAAGGAGAAAATTAACTCTGTCCTAGCAAAACCAGGACACTGCCTTTGGCAAATAAAGCAAACTGAAGGAGTAAACCAGAGAGGAAAAAAAATAATGCTGGAGAAACAGGTGTCCTTGATGTTGAGAGAGTTTCTCTGAGGGAGAGAAGACACTGTAATATGTTTAAGTAAATAAAAACTTTCGGGGTTTTTTTTTACTTAGGTGACAGGGAAATGGTGGATAAGAGTGTCTGCGTGGAAACATTCATATAGGTTTATATTTAATTTACAATCTCATTTATTTTATGTGATGACTAAGACTCATTGGGTTTTTTAAGAAGACTCAGAAGTTAGGAGATGAATTGAAAGAGGAAAGTTGTAGTTGCAGTAACTGTGGAAATTAGCAGATAGAAGTGTTCTCTGGAAGAAAGCATTTTTGAGTGTGAAAATTATATGCATAAAACACAGGTTATGTGTATTTTGCTTCTTGCGTATCACATGTGAATGGTATAGAATGTATTTGCTATGCAGTGTATGACTGAAATGTAGAAGCTATGTGAGCAGTTCAGTAAGTAAACAGCAATTTTTATATGGGAACTCGTATGTACTCCAGGGGAATGCAGGTGAGGGGGAGTGCTACTATGTTGGGATGTGATAAATCGAGAAGTGTTGAGCTTGGTGTGTTGTACTGAAGAGAATCTAGTAGGTGTACCTAGCACAGGGGAGTTGCCTCTCTGATGGAGCAGAGGCTGCAAAGCACAGCACTGTCAGAGCATTTATGTTTCTGCTCTCTTTGAAAAATAAAGATTGCATTTTCCTACCTCTTGGTGATGCAGCTTTGAAATGCGTGAGACTATGTAGGTCTAAAGTGTTGCCAAATTTCACATTGAAGATTTTTTTAAATTTTATTTTTCTTTTTTTGTAGGTTTACAAAATTTCCCCCAAATTTGCTTTCTTGGTGACATCAGGTCCCTTTGTTTACACGGCAGTAGCTGTCATAAATGTGCTTATGAACAGCAGTCTTCTTCGTGGTGAGGCCCCAGTGATCCTCTCACTGCACCCTTCCTTCACTGTGCCAGATAACAGGTTCCAAGTTCAGACAGGTGAGTTCTTTCTGACATGAAGAGGAGGAGATGTAGCTTCATATTGATTCACGCTTCTTGTGATTAAATATGCAAGGTCAAGTCAAACTGTGCATTCTACTGCTGTGGATCTTAATTCTTGTTTGCTAGTGTAATACTTGCTGGATCCATGGTTGAGAGATAATAAATTGTAAACAATTAACCCCATAATTTCATTATTTTTTTGGAAATTTTTTTTGGCCCGTTGCAAAATATGTGTGTTCTTTTTTCTTGCATCAAAAGATGAGAAGAGAAAAAAATTTCTGTGAAACATTTACTGATAAAATCACAGTGCAGCTATTTTATAATGCTTGAGTCAAGTTTCAAATTATGCTTACCTTGAATGCTACTTTTTAGAGTTCTCATAATGTAGGAGAATTTGTGAGCAGGAGGAATGATTGCTCATGTATAATGTGAGCAGGAGGATTGCTCATGTAATATCCAGCTTTCCATTGCTGCTGTGTGGCAGTGGTTTATGTGAAGTCCATGATTATTAATAATCTAAAGTAAAATATTACCCATGTAATAGATTTTGAGAGTCAGTGGTATTTAAAATCTTCTTCAGGCACTATTTGCACAACAAAACCACCTGCCTGTTTGGCTGACTGCCTAATGAGGTAGTGACAGAGAATGAGTATAAAGGCAGAGAGTTACTGAATGTCAAACATAGGTGCTTTTGTTCAGGTATGTTTCATGTGTTGTTTCTGCTGTGTTAACAACTGTATGGTAAGACATCACTTTAATTGTGCAGGTGCGATGTCTTTTTCCATTGCTTAACAGGGTTATATAGATACACAGAAGACATATTTTCTGTTCTTGAACCTTGTTTAACATTGCTGTTAGAGTCTGTAACCTAATCATAGTATTTCTTTCTTAAGATGTATCAGGAAGTCCACAGGTGTGTGTGTAGTTAAGGTCTGTGTGCTTGCTCACGTTCCTCTGCGCTCGCTTTCTCTCCTGTGCTTACTCTATCTCTCCTGTGAAATACTTCAAAGTGTATGTATCTAGATTTAAAAGATAGTTTGCTAATTAGGTGTTTTGAAAGTGTTAGACTGATACTAATGTGTATTAATGGACCCAATATGTGATCATTTAGACAAGAAAATGACTATGTTTCAGTCTACAAGAAAGAGAACTGTTGCTTTTTTACTTAAGATTTTCATTTATGTCTTGGATAATAAGGATTTCAGTGTGGCTGATTCAGTGTTCAGGTCCTGTAAAATAAGCTCCATATATGTCGTGAAGGTCTTTCAGTATCCAACAGGAAACAGTGGATATTTTGTCACTAATATCTTTCGGTAATTAAACTATTGCAACAGATATTAATGAGTGGAAAATTTACTGCACCAACACAAAATTTATTTTGACTGTATTTTTACCCAGAGTTTCACTGAATATGTCCCGAATTCCATGAAAAAGTGACAGCATGTGAATTCTTTTGCTTGTTTTGTTCTCTCTCATGGAAGTACTTGTCTGTAGGGATAATGTGTACCCTTTGCCTTCAGTGCTTCAGTTTGTGCCTCGGAACGTGGATGTTGGGTTCTGCAACTTTAGCCGGCGCATTGAGAAAGGACTGACAATGGCATTAAAGGAAGTGAGCAAACACCAGGAGTTCTACAACTTCACTGTGCAGGTAAGAAGATGAGCATGTTTTGTGTCTGTCCCTTTTTGTTCTCATCTTTGGTTGTCCCAAGTTTCATCCAGTCAGTAAAATGAATTAGGTGTTCACTGGCTACCACTTGCCATCTACATTGTGTAGAGCTATGAGGCTTTGTCATGAAGTCAGGATTTTTTCCTGTACAAAATAATGTGGCACCACATATTTCTCTGGTTTCAAGATTTTTGAAAAAATGATCCGAGATGATGATTTATATCTAAAAACATTATTGAATATAATAGGGTTTATACTTTTTCCTATAAAGGCTCCCCCAACACTTATCAAAGTCCTTCCCATCAGATTTTACTATTACAGAGTAGGGTGTGGTTAGAATGCTTTTGTTGGAAGACAACTTTCAGGTCTCATTACTACTTAGGGGATCCTATTAGGGAATATAGGACTTCTATGCACTCTGCCATTATGTGAGCAAACATGCTAGTTGCCTCTGAGGTCTAGAAATACTTACAGCAGTATATGATGTCCATGGCAGCTGCTGCTGGAACTTCTCATATGAAATGTATATGTGCTGGGTACTGAATCACATAGCAGAATTTAAAACTCTGTGGAAAGTCAATAATTCAGTTTAATGAGACTGATTCACTCTTCTGTCTAAATTCTTAAATTTAATCTAGCTTTGTTGTAATACCAAAATTAGTAAAAAAATTATCATACTGTTTAACTGGCACCATAAATGCTCACCTGTGGTACCCTAAAATAAAACCATAGCAAGAAAAATGGCATAAACTTTATAGTACCTAAAATACATAGTACGTAAAGTGCTCAGAACTGTACAACTGGCTGACACAATGTGACTGAATAGACTGAAGAGACAACACACAAAACAATTTCTTGAACTGTCAGCTTAGCAAACTTTTATTTTAAATACTCCCTTACTGTCTGGAAGAGGTTTGTCTACATGAATGCAGTTACCGTGTACATTGATGCCAAAATAAGGTTTCTAACTGGTGGTAGAGTCTGGGGGTGCATGGTGCAGGAGGTTTTGACCAAGAGAACATCCATTTTCAGAATGTTTCTTTAGCCTGGTATCTTCCTATCTGTTCCACACAGTTTGGTATTCATCTAAGAATTCTTTATCGGTAGATTTATTTTGCTGACTGTCTAGGTGGGGTTTTTTGGGGGTTTTTTTCCTCATTTTCTGGACTGTAGCTTTCGAATCATTCTGGATTATGATCAACCTTAGAGGATAACTCTTGGAAGAGGAATTCACATGTAACTGCTTCTTCTGAGACTCAGCAGGCTGAATCAATCCAGAATAGATGTTCCTCTGTTTTGATGTGAATTGCCTCGCATTTCATATTAGGGAAGAAAAAAAAAATCTATCAAGGAGGGAATAGAAATGCCAAGGATTTGATTTTGCTAACCCTGCTTCAATCTTGTCTTTTCAGATACTGAATATAACTTTGAGCAGGCCTGCAGGAGCATTTCGGCAAGGCCCTGTGAGCATTGTTTTTGCTGTCCAAAATAGACACGGTTTTTTAAATGGGTCTGAAGTCAGTGAGCAGCTAAGAAACTTGTCCATGGTGGAATTCAGTTTCTACCTGGGCTTCCCTGTACAGCAAATTGCTGAACGTGAGTACTTCCTGTTTGCCAAAACTGCAAAATACTACTTCTATTATTTTTTCCTCTCTACAATTTTGATTTTGTGCATAAGTGATAATGCAGCTTCAAGTACCTAACTTGTATCTTCAATTGCGCAGAGCAAATCCATGACCCTCTCTGCTCCCATGCTGCTTATCAGTGTTATGGGAACTGGTTGCATTTGTCATCATCCTTTCCTTTTGCGCTGGGCCACTTGTGCATAACCTGGTTTCATGAGTCCATTGGTCTTAGTCTAGATTAAAAAAAGAAAAAATGTCACTTGAGTCACTATTGCTGTGAAGTACAATCCAAGGTGGGTCTCTGTGGTTAGGTTTACAGGGGCCTTTGCTGCTTCTCAGCAGGGTTTACTACCTTGGGCTTTGTGTTGCATTTAACTGCATCTCTGACTTCTAGAAAGCCTGGGACGCTGGCAGTGTAAGCTTATATTTGCCTATATAGTCTGTCTGGGTTATTTATTAGTCAGCAGCAGTGCTTTTTTTCCATAGTCTGCTATCTTTTAAGGTATTACCTTTTAAGTATATCTCTCACTTCTGATGTACAACTTGCATTGCAAGTCATTTTTTCCAGTCCATGGCCATCCTAAACTTAGATTAATGGGAACTGCCTGCATAGCAGAGTTGCTTGACACAGCCTTGACAACTTACGTTTGGTTAGATTTTTCAGATTACCTCAGTCTCATAAATAAGCCAAGTTTCTAAGCTCAACACTTATCCTTGTACACTAATGGATTGTTCATGACAGAAATGACTCATGAATGTAAGCACGATCATGAGAGAACAGTGCTTGCCTTTCCCTCTTGGTGGGTGTTACTGTTAACTCAGTCCATTAATTCCCTATTTCTCCTATCTCACTGTGCTTTCCAATGCAGATTTTTAATTTTCAGAGTTATTTTTGAGAGCTATTATAGGTGCATAGTATCTGGTATGGTGATTCTTACTATATGGTTAAATGCCTAGTGGAAAATCAAGCCTAATGGTGGCTGCTGTTCGTTATGCAGCTGTGTGGTAGTATGTCAGTGAAGATACTGAAAAGAGAGTGGTTGTCCACACAAGTTGTTCTCCATAGCACCTTTAAATCTATGTGAGATGATTACACAGGTTACTTTCCCAATGACTAGAAGTAGTTTAAACGTACTAATTTTTTGAAACTTTTTTTTTCATGTGTCAGCATTTTTGAACCCTCTGCTCCCATATCAATTAAAAAATGTATGAGGTTGACTCATTTCCTTTCAACATTTCTACTCTCAGTCTCATATAGACTATACCTGTGGAGAGGTAGCTGTATGTATTTGAGGTGGGACCAAAAGCCTTGAGAATACCTGTCCACAGATCATTAGCATGTCTTTTGACCCTTGTGAGGCCACAGAACTTCTCAGGTTATAGGCCGTGGTCTTTGTCTCTCACTGAATTCAAATTAAATTTTGCTCTTGTCTTGATTGCTTGAAAAACAATTCTGTTTTCTCTGTGTCATCTCTTTTGCACCTTTGCCCTATGAGTTTATTTAACTTTTAGTCTCTTGGGTGATATTTTCCGTGTTGTGGGGCTTTTTTTTCCTGTGATGTACGCACAGGTCCTACAGTTTTTAGTTTTGTCCACATATTCTGGAGTGGTATTTGTAGTGAATTTACAGGTTGCCCCTTGCTGAGAACCCATCTTCTGGGTTGTGCAATGGAACTATGGTGCAATTAAATAACAGAATTTCTACCAAGGTCAGTGTACTCTGAAAGGTTGGTCATAGGGGAAAAACATTCCTATTAAACATGCATGGACATTGTTCTCCTTATTTTCCTTTCCTGATGGTACTTAAGAAATCTGAAGGTAATTTCTTTAGTGCTCATAGCAGGAGCTCTCCCTCTGTGTTATCTGCGTGCTTATAGTCCCTCACCAGTGGGGCTGCTTCCTGGCCCATGCCAGTGGAGCTCTGTGGTAGCTCTTACGTTAATGAGAAATTCATGCAAAGTAGAATGAGCGAAGAGGTCAGGCACTGCCTTTGGAAAAAGGTCCCATTTGGATTTTTCCTCCTTTCCTGACTAGTCTGAGGTTTTACAATGAAGTAATGTAGATGTTGGCTGTTGCAGCCTGGCAAATTTAGCCTCTGTTAGTACAGTGGCAAGTCCAAGCCTGTGGGTGAGTTATGTCTATAACTTTTTTTCTGAAGCTTTAGGAATTGTTTTGGTTTTTGTTGTTTGTTTGGTTGGTTTTTTTCCAAAAAGACACCAGGTAAAACTGCATTTGTGAGTTGTAATTTCATTCCTGGAAATTCTAGCACAGGCCTCCAGACTTCAAATACAAAATTATTGTTCCTCCCCTCAAATCTACTAAATCTTCCAAACAATAACAAACCTCAAATCCTCAAGCAGATCCTTAGTGTAGGAAGGCAGAGTTACTCATCAGCGGTGACTAAGTCCATCATGATACACACTTTATTCCCAGATTCTCCTATTTGGAGCTCTTGAAAAATGCTGTTTCTTTGGGCACATCCCCAGTAGCAGGGATGATGACAGCTAAACAAGCTCTGTGTATCTACCTTTGCTTTCAGTGCCCCACAGAACCGCTGCCGTAGTTTATTGAATGAATGTTGCTACCAGAGCATAGCATTTGCCTCAGAGGTCTTAGCCAGAGTTTGGTGATGGTGGTGTCTCTTAGTTTGTTTGATAAAGTTTGAAGACAACCTTCAAATTTGTCTAGTATTAATTTTCAAAACATTTAATGTATTAAAATAAATAAAATACATGCAGTAAATCAAGATAAGCATACTAAATTTCTATTTAGTAATTCAAAATTTTTAGAAACAATGAGATCTTCCTAAAGTTCATGATGTAGAAAACATGAGGATTTGGTGAATATGGTGCCCTAAATCAAGGAGCACTTGATTTACTTGTTGCTAGAGGAACTCGTATTTACTGTAGATTGAGCCCACTGCAGGACAGCTCATTTTGATTTGAACTTGTCTAGCTTCATCTCAACAGTGCTTCGACACATTTGTAGTCGCTGTTTTGGAACACCAGACGTGGTGCAATTTGACAAATCAGCAGAGTGGGAACAGAGTTTCTTAGCTTGTTATAGCTTTGGCAGGAAGATGCCTCAGTGGTTTTGTTTTCTAGACCCTGAACTCTCCACTTTTATGCTCTCCCTTATCTACAGAGCAGTTGTAGCAGGGAAAGTGGTGTGAAAATCTTCCTTAGATAGGCAGCTGCTTTGCTTTGTGCAAATCAATATGCAACCCGTTACGTTTCAATGTGAATTTTTGGGGGAATTTTGGATATTTACATACAATTGATTTACATATTTTATTGCTTGGATGTAAATTGTTTATATGTAAATATGAAATGTTCCTTGCCATACTGTTCCGTGCCATTTGTACCTTAGCTATCAGGCATGGTAACAGTTAATACTCTTGGTGGTGACTTTTTTTTTTCTCCCTGAGGGCTCTGTATATGATTTTGTAAGTTTTATAGTCTATATCTGAAAAAAAAAATAACTGATTTGTAGGTGAGCTGAGTTGTCAGGGGGTTGAAGTTGATTCATGCTAAGGAAAAGCTACTTGTGTAATATCACTATATCTCAACACTGTTAAGTGAAGTGAGACCTTGCCTTCAATATCCTGAATGAGCCTTGTTTGAAAGAATACATTTGCTACCTGCTGCTTGTTCACTTCACATTGCCTTTCACACATAGTCCTTTCACTGGATTTTTCTCATAACTAATATGCACTGTTTATACTTTTAACTGTGTGGGTTGTCCCTGTGTACATCATTAACAAAAATGTACATTTGTTAATGTACATCATTAACAAAAGGAATTTTTTGTCAGCTTTTTCCACTTATTTAGAGTCAGGGTCAGTAGTGAAAGTTGTTAGTTTGACAGAATGGACTGTTCTGTGCAAGAGTAGGGCTGTTGAGAGTGATCAAGCATGGAAACTTCCAGACTTTTTTCTTTCCCTCACAGACTTCTAGGTGACTTCAGCAACATGCTTATATTCAGACGTTCAGTTTTACATCTTCGTGCATGCTTATTTTGTCTGCTTTACATCTCCCTTCTTAGATTGTAAACTGGGTAGGTGGTTGTGAACTACATGTTAGCCGGAAGAAAACCATGTCAAGTCACAGTTTTTTGGGTGCTAGTTTGTTAAAAACAATAGGAAAGAATATATTTGATATCTCTTTATGGCTCTAGGATTTCTCTGAGGACAGGTAAAGGTTAGCTGCGGACTAGATGAGGGATATTGGTCCTCATGAACTTACCCTGAATAAATCTCTTTGTTTTTATTATGGCTTTAAATAGAGTGAGTTGCCTTGGGACTTGGTATTTTTTCAGTGCCCTGAGTAGCACTCTGATGGGTGGCATCTATTTCAGATATATTGGAGATGTTGCAAGGCCAATAGGATAATATAAAATCATATGATATAGTCCAAAGACTGGAGAAACACTTGGCAATTTTGGATTAGACTGTAACAGATACAGTATGCTACTATTGCCCACACCCCCATATTTGCGTGGAATCTTATTTTTCAATTGATGCTTCCTCCTTACAAATAGTGCATTCCCTCCATGCTTTCTATGGCTGTTTCTCCGTTTATCAAAAAGAAGAATGATTAGTATGGTACCGATTCTATCCTGCATGGGCCGCACGTCTCTGTATGAGAGGATCAGAGAGATCCTTGTTGGAGCATCTGGTGAAGGCCATGTTGCCCAAGTGGTGTGCTTCAGATTGCTGTCAGGAGGTTTCTGGGTGACTAGGTGACCCTTTACCTTTTCAGTCAGCATTGAATCAATACTGTTATGCAGTATGGTGCTTCAGGGCTGCGTGTTAGAATCTTATGATGATGCTGGCATCTACTGCACTAACGCATCTATAGTCATTAGCAGACCAGCTGCAATCTAACTAGTACTTGCATTTTACGTATCCAACTTCCCCCTCAGAATAACAATCAGTCTGTGCTGTTTTTAATCATTAGTTCAAGGCGGCATTAGGAATCTTGCAGATATGATCTTCCTGCAGTGCTGAGACTCCAGCTGAGCTCAGGATCTGGCCACATGTGTGCTGGGGAAACACTTGGATGACTTATAGAGTAGGAGTTGCAGCCTGGATTTTATGACTTCTGAGCATGGTCTCAGTTGCAGAAGTGTCCATCATTTCATGCATTCTTCGTCAGGTTTTAGAAACCAGCCTTAGTTGCCAATGATCACTGCATATCTTCCTTTTCAATTTCAAGATTTTCTGCTCAAGTTGTTTTATTTTTAAATTTCATTAATTCTGTGAAAAGTTTAAGTGAGTAGTCATCCAGCAATTTGCATGAATTAAATCATTTTCAAGTACTAATTAGAAAAAGTGTGAAGAGCACATTAAGTATTGAGGCAAAACATGATTTTGGTTTAAAAGAAGAAACTCATAACTGCTAACAGTTCAAAGTTTTAGGGCCTTTGGAAGGTTTTTGATTTTCTTATCTTGCTTTTTCCATGCTTTGGGAAAACAACAGATGCAGTGTAGTTTATGCTTTTTTGTTCAGGTTGTGTTTCTAAATTGAAATAAACACTTGCATGACCAGAGTAAATAGAACTCCAATCCAAAAGCTACGATCAGAAGAATCATGTAGCAAGATGCCAAAAATAAATGTGTTTGTTTAAATGGACTATGAGGTGCTTTTTGTGAGTCTGAGTTTTGGAAATTTGATTCATTCTGGTCAGTGTATAGAGGGCCACTATTTCCACTTCTAAATAAAGAATCATGCTCTGATACACTTCTAAATAATAAGTTACAAAGTACTTCCCAGGTGGTTCTCTTGAGGCTAGTGGTGCTACTATTGAAATAAAGGTGGAATAACAAAATTTTAATTTTTTCCATAGGGCTATTTATAAATCTATGAAAATAAAAGGTACAATGTAGCTAGTGATTCTTTTGTTCTTGCCTTAACAAAAAAATTGTAAGTTTTTTAAGCTGAGGTGAGCTACTCTACAAATTATTGCATAATTAAATTAGAAAAATTGTAATTTTCTGTTTCTCTGAAACATGCAATAGTGACAAACTATTCTACAAATGAAAACACGACATCTTTAAATTGATCTAGCATGGACCAGGTCATTTAATTATGTGCCACATTCTATCTGTGAAATGGTTTAAAAATTAACGTTTTTATAATGCTTAGCAAACTGCATCTGGAATAAATATTTTGAGAAAGTTAAGACCATTCCTTTTTCTTATTGCCATAGTGAAGCTTAAGACTTCCCTTGAGGAAACTGTTGGCCCAGCCCCCATCTTCACTTGTTTCCCAACATGTCTTTACTGCTCTCCAGTGGAAACCTTGGGAAAAATCTTATCCCTACTGAACTAATGGAAATAGACTTTATTTACTTCACTGGGACAAGGATTTCACTCTGAAGTAGAGGTTTTGTTTTTTTTTTTTTTGAAAGAACTGAGAAATTTAGAAAGCTCAGAGCCATGAAGCCAAACACAAAAGCCATGAGATTTGTCTACAGCAATCTTTCTACATGTATTTATTTGTTATTTTTGTTTAAAAAAAAAATCAAATAAAAAATCAAGGTGTTGGTTTTTAAGTGCTTCCACTTGCACAAACCTGGAAGACAAAAAAGATATATTTAGTTTTCTGCTTTACATTTAGTGTTTCCATGTAGTTTCTGCTTCAGAGAAGGTCTTGTTTTCATTCTGAAACACTGATGAGTTGCCTCATAGCCCATTGAGCAAAAGTCTGATCCGGCAGCTAGCTCAATCAGAGTCACAATTCAGTGAGCTTTTGAGTTTCTAGGAGCAATGACCTCAGTACAGCAGCTTGAAATCTTTTAAGTCATAAATCTGATTGCTTCAGTTAACTTCTTTTTGTTCAGAGATGAACTGGGTAGCGTATGTTTGGACCACTCTCCTTACAGTTGTGTCTGTGTAGCCTCAGGAGCAGTAATACCTCTGTGTAAATAAGATGCTTGCTGACAGTATAAATTATGATGTGGCTTCTTTTTTTGTGTGTATGTTGTTGAGAATACTGTTCTTACGGATGTTTTTCCTCCATTCTGTTTTTCCCGCAGCCTTTCATTATCCTAAGCTTAATGTGTCTCAGTTGATGAAATCTTCCTGGGTGAGAACAGGTACGTACAGTCTCTGTGGAGTAAGAGTGCAGTTACTTTTGTTAGCAGGATAACTAGCCTACATAAATAGCAATAGCTTAGGGATTCTGCATTTTTGTGAGGTAATAATGTGCCTGAGCTGAATAAATTCTAAAACCAAAGGCCTAGTGACCTGGAATATCTGGGAAGTGGAATTCCCAGGTCTAGAATTAACTAACTACTGCAATTCATTGATAATACACACAAAGTAGTTTTTGTCTATAAAGCAGTTCATTCTTAGTGAGACAACTTGCCTTGTCAGGCATAAAGTATCTACTCTGCATGCTCTCAATATACCACATTGATTTTTAGGTTTTTATTCTATTTTAAGTGAAAATTAAAATCTTATTTTTGTGACACTTTCTACCTAAACACGCCAGGAATAAAGCAGAATGAAAATAGATACGTTCCGAGTACATGAAGGAGTTTAATCATGTTTCATTGATCTCTTCTGGTTCATACACAGCAGATCCCTCCCACCCAAGTCTTCTGGATGTTTTATTCTATAATTCACAGATACAGTTGAACTGTCACATTTAGATACTTAAAGACTGTTGATGATGTCTGTATGCTGTAGGTCCTACCTGCTTCTTTTAAGCAGAAAGCCTGAACAGTGACCAGACTATGCCTAGCAAAATTGCTGTTAGGGTACAGATGCTCCACTGGATGCACTTTTATCTTCCCACAACTTTCCACCTGTAGTTTACCAGCAGTATAGACTTACTCTTCTTTCAGGTATCCCTGTCTCCTCTCACCAGTGACCTGGTTTACTTCTTAAGCAGGAAACCAGGTTGGAACTTAATTTCTGAAGCCCACACAGTTTTGTTTTTTGTTTTTGTTTTTTTTGTTTGTTTGGTTGGTTGGTTTTTTTAGAGAAGAAAAATGAAGAATTTCAGATCATGTTCAATAACATGAGAGAAACTACGTTTGTGGATCCCACGTCCAATGTCATCCTTCTTTAGAGATTTAGGTTGGCTTTTTTGGTCACACCTGCACCCTCTCTTGCTCAGTCTTAGATTTGCTTTGTCCGTTGTTGCTGGAAGTTCTCTTAGATCCTTTGGTAAGCAGAAGGTTCTTCCAGCTCAGAAGTCATGTCCCTCTGGGTTGTTCTAAACTTTCAGACTGTAAGGTTTTGAAAGCCAATTGCAGCACCTTTTTTTGCTGTAGGGGAATTTTTTGTAATCCCAGTTCTTGCAGGCAGCCTGGGAAGAGCTAGTAGGCTTTGGCTGGGTTAGTCCTTTCAGTCTGTATGTTGTATTGTAAGGGTAATGACTCATGACATAGGAAAAAGATACAATTTATGCACATAAAGGTGAAGTTTTTAGTATTAGATTAACCAGATATATGTGCATATATCCCAATAGTCATAAAACGCTGGAATATGCAGTGTTCTGTGTAGCTGTCCCTCTCAGTTGGAGAATACAGTTCATGCTATTAAACATAATTCATTGATACTGAAATTCAATACACAGGCAAGAACAGTCTTCTACTTGCTGCATATAATAGCCTTAGGCCACTTTCTATTTATTTTGCTATTTAATTCTGAAATACTTAGTCTGTGATTGAATTTAGAAGGCAGATGCTGTTGGTCTTTGTGAGAAATCATGACTGTTTCCTTCTGACATCTGCAGTGAAAATTTTTAAATGAAAAAAGTGGTTTTAATATTTTTGTTAAAAAAATAAAACAAAAATATATTGAATGGATTATATCTGATTGGGTGTTTTTTTATGAAGCACCACACTTAAAAAAAAAAACAAATGTGAAAACACTTGCTGAAAGAGACTTTTAAAAAATATAGACCATTTTAGTGGAGAGCTTCAGGAATGAAAATGGAGTTATTTTACTGCAGTCAGTAGTAAGTTGGTTTACTATCCTTTAAGGGTTGTTTAATTAGACCATTTGAATGACTGTTGCTCCATTCACTCCTCTTTTGTTTTACTGGATGCCATCTTGTTAGTAAAAGTCCACACTTTTTTCATGTTTCCATGTGTTGTTCCTCAGGGATTCCTCTCAGCATTAGCTGCCCCAGTGACCTGGAGTACCTGGCGCTGGGAAGTGAAATGGGCAGGGCTACTAACCTTTTTTTTTTTTTTTTTGGTGCTATGATTGCTGTGCTTGTTAATCTCTGTCTTACCTAGGGAAGGTGCACTTGGAATACACAGCTTCATTCACGTGCTGCTGGTCTCCTATTTTTTTGTCCTTGATTCTGAAACCTTGCCCTGCCCATCTCCACCTCTGTATCACTTCCAGACACGTTTTGACCAAAAGTAGTTGCAGCAGATAATTTTGAATTTTTTCTTCTATTTGTTTTTAAACAGTTCAGTGAATATTCTTAAATTGGGTTTTTTAGAATTTAAACTGTTTCTTCAATATCCTAGGTATGTCTAGACTGGTTGAGATTCCAAATATGCCCTCTGCCCTATATATTTTTAATTATTTTTTTTCTTTTAACCTTTTCCTACCCAGTGTATTCCTTTCCACATGTAACCTCTGGCTGAACTGGGCAGTATTCCCACATGAGTACAGCTGCTCTTGAATTGTCCGTGAGATGGCCCAGGGTGACTCAGAGCTTGTAATTGAAGTTGCAGAAAAGACATTGAAAAAGTTTTACTAATTCATTTGTGTTCTTGGATTACTTTCTCTGCACTGTAGTTCTCTTGGGTGTCATCGACCAGCGAATTCAGGAGGAAGTGTTTCAGGCTGAGATGGAGCGGAAACTAGCTCACCTGTTAAACGAGGCTTTGGCCAGAGGGCGGATATGGAGACGAGCCAGTTTTGCAGGCAGCAACATTGTGCAGGTATTAAGAGCTCAAAGTCAGAAGAAATAAAGGAGAATAAGTTACTGAATAAGTTAATATTGTCTAGATTTTGAGAAAGATAACTCAAAAGCATGTATCATGTTTAGCTAGTTGATGATGCTTGTGTTTTGCACCTAAAATACTGTTCTTTTGGATACCTTGTTTTCTTTTAAGCTCAACGTAACAAATTGAAAAAGCTAGGTATTTTAAGTGACTACTAAAAAATTCTGATGACTTCTTAAAACTTTGCTATCTTGTCTGACTTACATGAGGTGCCTAGCAAAAGAAGACAGGATGGTCATCTGGGTCAAAAAAGTGCCCTGCTGGAACAGCTACTTCACAGCTTTCTGTGGTGTTTTCATGGTGGTATAGAAATATGAAGTAGAATAATATGCAGCTTGATGCAGCAGTAGAATAGTATATTCTACTCCTTAACTATCTGTTTGTCACAGTACTGGTCACAGGAATGGCTTTCAAGTAAGAATGATTAATCATGTCAAATTTTGCACACATGGCAGCTTCTGCTATCTGTATTCCACTGCTGCTTTATAGTTTTGTCACAGGTGGAATTATTCACATAATGTCCAGGAAGACTTGGATATTTAATTTTAAGTTTTAAATTCTCACATGTGTTCTTTCTAATCAGTTCAACAAACTGAAAGCCAAAATACTTTTTAATGGCTTATCTTCTTAAAAATTACTTTTTCCTGGCTAATTCATTGATAGTTGGTTTACTTCACAGGTGCCCTTCTAGTAGTTCAGACTTACTGTCTTTATTTAATCTAATCCTATGGTTTTTTGCTATGATTTATATTTCCAGGTGTTGGGATTTTCTTACTTTAGTTTTCCTGTCCCAGAAACATCTGTTTTTTTTTTGCTACGATTTATATTTCCAGGTGTTGGGTTTTTCTTTAGTTTTCCTGTCCCAGAAACATCTGTTTCAGTAGTGGAGATTTTATTTTTTCTTTTGTGCAGCTTTGAATTGCTGTATATAGATCTCTGCTTCAGATCTTCTGTTCCCAACACCTCTTACTGCACTTTGTTCTTTATGCCTCAGTCCTCCCTTTGCATATAAATTAAATAAATATTCCTTATGTTGCTAGCAAAGATACCACAGCCTATACATCTAGATTACGGTTTTACTGTCTTACATAATAAAGCTTGGGTAATTTATTTTTGCATGCACAGCATTGCAAGCAAATCCTTTCTAGCTAATAGTAAGGATAGTTATGAATAGTATTTTGGAAAGTGAAAATACAATGTTTTTCTTATGACTTCGTATTACTTACTGGGATGTAAGATGATGTCTGCAGCTTATGTTCCAAACAGCAGCACTGATGATTTATGCCATTTAATTAGTCCAAAGAGTCTGCAAACTGCTGTCTTTGGGCAGTAGAGGATTCTTAGTTATGATCAACACATCACACTATCCCACATAACACAGGGCTTCTCCAGCTGCTCACAACCAACACTGTTAGGTAGGATTAGCACTGTAATAAAGGAGATGGTAAAGAAGGAAGGCTGAAAGAGATACTTTGCTGCTATGTGTCTGTGATAGGTGTCCTCCTTTCCTGCATGAGAATGGTAGGTACCATCAGGTGCTATAGCTTCTGAGTAGCTTGCTTTGTCAGGATGCTCAGGTATGTGGTAGGTGAGACAGCCTTGGAGGCTATTGTGTGCAGTTGGAGTGATGCACCTGGTAGTGGGCTCCCGAGAGGAGGACATTTTCTTTCAAGGATGCTTCCCTGTTAGTTGAGGATCTGGTCCATAGTCATTTGCAATAAACCTTTTCATTTTACTGCTGCTAATTCTATTCTTCATAGCCAAGTTTATAAGCTTTGTTTGAAGTGTGTTGTGTGTATGAATATGTTGGTCTTCAGGGTGAGCTTTTAATGTTCTTTGAGCTTTATATTCAGATCTCCCCATATATATATTTCTTGCATACAAACCATTGACTGCTATGATAGTAGGCCACAATGAAGGGAAAATAAGAACAGAAGCTGCCAGCAACACCAAAGTGTTGGATACTTTTATTAGCAGGACATGCATATAACCGTGAAAGACTAGACACACACATTTCACTTCTGAGCCCCTATAGACAGGAGTTTTTCCGAAGGTGAAAGATATTTATAGTGTATTGAAATCTGGTATTTCTAAGCTCTGTGGAAGATCAGGACTGTGAGTCAGAAGGTGGAGCAATTATTTGTAAATATTAATGCAGGCATATTCATTTCCTTTCACATACTAAGAAAATAGAAGTGATACCTTGTGAGATTTAGATTTCATTTTGAAAGGCATGTGTTAGGACCTGAGAATTTTTAAAACTACTGTTTAAATCTAGACACTTTGAATAAAAGCTTTGGACTACCTAGGGTGCCCAAGTAATATGTTTTCCCTCCCATTGTCTGTCTATACTATTATCAAGTGGCACTCCATGATAAAAAAAAGAAAAAAACCTATAAACATTATGTATAAAAACCTCTGAAGTACCACACCTGACTGTTAAACACAAGATAGTTCCATTCATTTTTATGTAATGCTCATATTAATGTTTCACAGAGCAAGTCATATATGTATATTTTCAATATGTATCTGCTGTTGCTGCAAATTGAAGGCATATGTTTAATGTAGTTTAATGCAGTTTGCATTGCGTCTGCAGAGGCTCGGCCCCACACTATTTTGTCAATAGTTTGTCATAACTCATTCCCATTAAATTTTTTGGGGAATAAAATGGCTTAATTGTAGTTTAAAAATATGCCAGAAGCTAATGCAAAAATAATTAGTTTTCCTCCATTTCAGCATGCTTGGTCTCTTGAACCTAATAGGAAGTGAAAAGGTGATCCTACTGAGTGACAAAAAGAACAATGTTCTGATTTAAGGAACACATTAGGTGACACTGTAGTTGTAATGTGTGTGAGGAAGTAGTGGCTATGAGGAAACATAATGACTGAATTGGGCTTTTTATTAAGGCAGAAGGTCATTCTCTTGCTTTTCTACCAACAGTTGTTGTGTCTCTCACAAGTGTGGATTCTGAGGAAAGGTCCAGTCTTGCTGGGAGTTTTTAGGTTTTAAAATAGAGTCTTTGGGGACTGCTACTGCTTTACCTTTTCCTCAGAGGAGTTTTGCCCCTCCAGTGGCCACCCCAGGCAGAGACCAGCCTCTCCATCAGATTGCCCACAGCCTGTTCCTATCTCCATGCTGGCAAGCCAGTTTCTTGCCTGGCCAAGCCTCTGCACGCTGGCAGAGGAAATTTCCTTAGTGTTGCCTTCCCCGCCCTGGCCCTCTCAGTCCACTTGCTGGTGTCGCCAGCTCGGGGCGAGGAGGGTCTGCCACAGCTGGCAGAGGTTGGTGCTGTGACAACCAGCGCTGCCCTGCCCAGCCCCGGCCCGAGCGCTTTGGGAGGAAGCTGCTGCCCACAAGCTGCACCACCGTTTCCTGCCTGACAGGCTCCCCAGAGAGCTTCCTCAGAGCCAGGACAGGTTACCTGTGATGCCTGTTTCACATGTGTTTTATGTTGCATTGTTTGCTGAACCATTCAGACTGCAGTACAGCTTTGATTTAATTGCCTGGACACTAAAATCCTACTTTTAATAAGGCAGGAAACAGAATCTTTTTTGATTATTTTTTTCCCTAGGGGACGAGCACAGTGAAAAAAGGAAAATAAGCTCCATTTCCATTTTGGAAATTGTGTGTGTGTGTTTGCTTGTTTCTAAGTAACGCGTGTACCTTCAAAACCCTGAACCAGTTCCCCCAGGGATTCCTTACTCCTGACAGGGCTGCTGACTGGGACATCCCAGTGGCTGACTGACGCTTTGCAAACACCTTGTGAGCTTGCCCACCACCTGGATTTCCTCACTTTAAATTATGAACTAGGTTTGGTTACCAAGGCAACTTTGTTCACTGACCTATGATATTCTCTTGAAAACACTTTTTAAATTAAGTTTACTGACACCTGAATACAGTGAAGCCTTTTCTCTGTGAAGGTTAAATGTGCATCTAGTATCAACAAAGATGGTATCATTTATGTACACAGAAGTTGAATCAATCTTTTCTTTTTTCTTCCTTTTTTTTTTATTTTCTGCCTCCCATGTATTGAAGTTCTTGTATCTTCTCCCTCCCTTATGTCATCCTTCTCTGCAAAAGTATAAATGTGAAATGCTTAAATGCTTCCTTACACATGGGCTGCATTGCCAGATGCCTGGAAAATACCATTTCTGCCTCTGCTTGCATTCTTAGCACTCTGAAGGATAGAGACACCTCTGTAAAATATGAGACAAAACCAATCTGAAGCTGCACAGAGTATAATCCGGAGCAAAATGACACAAGATTTATTATACAGAAACTTTGTAAGAATGGGCAAGGTGGCCGTGTACCTCAATTTTATGAACAGACTTAAAACCAGTTCAGATCCAGGATACAATTTTTTGTGTTGCAGCAAACTCATATATTAGTTAAAAAAAAAAAAAAGTTTTTTAGTGAATTATGTGACCGAGATGAAAACTGAAGTATTGATATTGTCACAGTTGCTGAGTTTATGTGCAAGTCTAGTTGTCTTGTAGTCACCTCAACAATACCTGTTCAACCATCAGCTTTCCCAGAATAGAAGTCCATAACTATTTCCCCTTGGATTTGAAGTTTTGTCTGTAGCTTCCCTCAGCATGGTGTGAGCACTCATAAAATACTGTGTATTCAGAACGAATTATTTCAGACAAAACTTATCTTAAAACAGTGAGCTTAGTTCATCAACACCAGACTTCACCTCCACCCTCCACTGAATTTTTTCCTGCTCATTCCCATGTTCTGTACTGTGCCAAAATACCTCCAGCTACTTCTTCCTATCTCCCCTCTGACTGTTCTCACTCGTCCCTGTCCCTCAGCATAGGGAGCTATACGCTGTTGTTTTTTATTCTGTTGTATTGTTCCAGCTGTGGCAACTTGCACTGGTATCTGTCCTCCTTCCCCTCCACCCCTTCTGAAGGCAGCTGTGGAGAAGTTCCTTCTTTAACTCATTCAGCCAATTTGACTCTTTGTGTGTATAACACGCATACAATTATAGTACTTTTGGGGTATTTCACAACGCCATAAAATGTATGATGATTCAATTTAAGAATCTTCTAAATTTCTCTGATTCTGTAGGTTTGCTACAGACAGAGATGTTTCATAAAACTAAAGGAAGAACCCGTTGACTTTCAGTCCTGTGAAACCTTTCAACTCCCTCACTCTCCCTGTGAGTTAAGTCCTACCTAGGAAGGGTTCATCCGTGCCGAAAGCAGATACCAGTCTGTACACTCTGCTGCTGAGGCCAGGCTGTGGTGAAGGCAGCCCAGGTGAGGCAGAAATATGAAGCTGTGGACATTTGTTAACAATATATCTGGGTTCCATGAAACCAGATTCAGCCTTACAACTGCTGAGTGTGTGTGTTGAAACCTTATTTATTGATACTCTTTTGTTACCATCGGTCACGCATTGGTTGCCCCTTTAGCTGGCAGAAGAGTGAATAGCGTTCAGGATGAGAAGCAGCATTGGCTAATGGGTCCTGTTAGCAGGTCTTGCTGTGTTTCAGAAATTTGCACTTTTTTCTGCTCTATTTGTAGACGTTCTTTTTCTTACATCAAATGTGACTGCTGTTGAACATTATTCTTTGCTTTCAGTTGGTTTGGCCTAGAAAACTTTCATGACAATTGTGCTTTCTCTTTTTTCCCTTTCTTTATTATTCTTCTTACTATTATTATTATTACTATTATTTTTATTACTATTATTATATACCTTACTGTTGCTTCTCCTGGGAAATGTTTTTTAGGACACGTTGTGCTGATGTCCCCAAAGACCAGAACATCATCCCCGTTGAGCTAGAACATTGCACTGCTTTCCTTCAACATGATTGTTTTGTTGGAAACCAGGAAAGAAAAAAATACAAAGTTTTGCTTTTGTAAGCCTCAGATGTGCAAGCTTTTGTGTGTTTGCTTTACTTTAACCCCATGGGCTTTGAGATTCTAATTTATTGAATATGTACTTCATAGTAAAGGATAATTCTGAAAGAAGCAAAATTTATTGCTCTATTTGTGGCCAATTCCTTCTGGAGCTCTTCAAATCTGTTTTACATGATAGAATACCTCCTACTATTTGTTTGGGCTAAGTCTAGGTTGAGTTCACCATTACATGTAAATGGTTAAACAGAGGAATCTTAAATGTAAGATTTAATTTTACAGGAATTCAAAGTGGTTATGTGATTCTCATATGCAATGTAGATGTTAGGTGGTTAGAGAGTATCTACAGGGCTTCCTCATAGCATGCATTCTTTTGATTATTAACGTCTTTAGAAGTAGGTAGGAAGAATTGCTTCCCACAGCAACAAATACATTCCTTCCTGAAGAAAGGTGGATGCCAGAGGGAGCTGTTTGGGGGATGAAGGTGACTGTGCGTGTGCTGTCACTGAGGAAGAGCAAACAGTTCTATTTGAAGCTAACTGAATATTTGCCTGTGCAGCTGCTTAACATTTGGTAAAACTGGAACAAAGAGGTGTGTTATGAATAACAAAGCAAAACCAAAGTAGGCATTTAGAGAAGGAAAAGTGCAATCGCAATAATCTCTTCAGTAGCTCCTACTAACCAACAAGCACTGAAGGCAATAGAGCCTTCCAGGGTGGCATAGCGTTGGCATCTTTAGAGTGAAAATTGTTCTCTTCAATACTGGATCTGTATGTTGTCATGAAACAAATAGGAAAAATAATGGGAACTTCAGGTTTGCTGTAAAAATGTATTATGCAAGGGATCACTTTCCTAGGAATTTTCCTTTCAGTTGCAGTTTACCGTTCAGTAAATTTCCCAGGGTCCTGGAACACTTGAGAAGTGCTTCTGTAATTAGACACCAATATGTTATTCCAGTAACATCGTCATCCTCTGAAAGACTTCCGCTCAGAATCTTTTGTATAAGTATTAGGTGAAAATACCCTGAATTTTAGTTTGGAAGCAAATTATTGTTACCGGATATTAGCTCTCTACACTTGTCCAGCGTTGACTTAAGCTCTTCTTGGATGAGAGAACTAGGCTGTGTGTGTTTTGCCTGTGCTGCATACTGTATCTTGGAGCACTACACACGGCACATCTTCCCATCAGACCTCTCTAGATGTTGAGAAGTTCCAAACTGTACCAGTTGACAGCAGTTACATGGTTAGTATGATACCATATTCTTTGGTGTTGCAGATAGAGGGATTTTCTTTAACAGCAATTGTATTTTTACATCATAATACAAGGTGGAATCTTTTTTTAAGCACTAGGGATTGCACGTAGTGACAAGACAGAAACTGATCCCATCTTGGCAAAGCTGTTTCCAACTTTTTTTTTTTAGATGTGTCCCTGAGGTCCAGGCCCTGTGAAGGGGAGGGGGAGAGAGGGTGAGGACTGAAAGACCAAATGTATATGAACTCCAAATAAATACAACTTAAAATGTAAAAGCTTTCCAATTTCTTCTCAGATTGTGAACGTGTCACGGTTAGTTGGTGTTGATAACCCTGTGGAGCTGATCTATTTTGTGGAGGACCAAGATGGAGAGAGACTTAGTGCTCTGAAGTGCTCAGACCTAATGAACAGAGTTGATATCCAGCGGGCTGCAATCATCCTTGGATACCGCATTGAAGGCACCGTTGCACAGCGTAAGTCCTATCAAATCCACACTGATGTCACCAAAGAGACTCTTAGCTTTGGAGACTGTGGCACTGCACAGTGCCCACTGTTGCAGTGTCTTGTTCTGGGGTGCTGCAACTCCTGAGGAAATAAATCTTAGCACTCTTGCAGTGAGCTACGAGGTGTCGTTTTGCTTCTTGAAGACTGCTGAGCTTGGAATTGCGACAGAGTCCTTAAGTGCAGACCTCACTGCATTCTCTTTACTGCTTCTGCTGGAAAAATACTGTGCTAGCTAGATACCTTCTTGCCATTTTCATCTCTTTCTGCTAGTCCAATATTTCTTCACAGCTTGTCTTGCCCAGGAGCTTGCACAAAACTCACAATTGTGGGATGGGAGGGCGTCGAGTTAAATGAATGTTTCCTTTAGCTGAGTAATGGTGGTGAAGTTTAAGTCACTATTTTTTGTTTATCTGAGTTATTTCTGTGAGTGAAAGATCTAGGCTGATGCTGATTGGGGCTGCTTAGAGAGTATAAGTGAAAAGGAACAGATAATTTCCGTCTTTGAATATGAAGAATTTTGTCCATCAGTAATCTATAAGTAATGTAATCTTTTAGTAAAGATAATATAAAAGTAATGTGATCTTTTACTAGATACACATCAGAATAAATATGACAGGTTATAAAGTAATTATATGAGTTTATTCAGGAAGCTTGTTATATACATAATTTGCAGCAACAGTGGGACAGAACACCATAACATTCCATGTTATGATTAGGAAATAAACTTTAAAAGATTTTAAAACAGTAACAGACATGCATATGATCTGCAAAATACCTTATTGATACGAATTATAATTACCTTTTCTGGTTTTTGTGCAATACGGAGGCACGAGTTACATTGTGCCACAGGGTATTTTGCCAATAGAACTAACATGTGTCTGAATTTTAAAATTCTCTACAGAAAGAAAAGAAAGAAAATTGTAATAATGGGACCATCTGGATGTCTTTCTAGATTTTGTCCCAGTAGTTTAATGATAGGTCGGTAGCTAATGTACGTCTGCTTAATATCTGTTAATGGACTGTAATATTGGTTAGACAGAAATGCAAAAAAGTTGCAAGAATAGATTCCCTTTACAAAAAATGGTAAGTGTTGAACAAACTTCATGAAGTGTTTATAGCTTATTCTGCATATTGAAACTGACACATCATTAGAAAGCTCTTTTCAGAGGCATAGAATTGTAGCATTTTAAATGTTACTTATTGGAAGAAACTAGACAAGAAAAGATTATTTTTATAACAGAAAATGTAATGTCTTAAGTGAGCTGTCAGATGTATAAAATATTAGTACAATATTTTCCTTTAATCTCTAGGGTCATCATTAAAATGGCTATTAATAAAAATTATATATAAAAATAAGATTGCATAGAGATACTGTTTTTAATGTGAACGCATAATTTTAAGGAAGTGCATCAAATTGACTAGAAATGTATAACTGCTGTGGTTTTTAGTCCCACATATAGTCACTATGCAAAACAGAGCAAATGAAAGTTTTGTCAGTTCTTCCAGTTCGCTTCTTACATGCATGACTGGTTTGATTACACTTTCCAGTAGTTTTTTCTTCTGTTTTGGACTAAAGGATCTCACACATTGACAATGAAATGACATCATTTTTCTGGACATATTTTACTGTGTCAGCCTAGTTTTGGATTACAGAATGAGGTGGCAGAAGTGTATTTTCATTAGTAATTTAAGCACAGGTCTTCAGAAGATAAGTCAGGACAATTGGTTACCTGCCCCATGCTTTCTGAACGTGACCTAGGTTAACCTATAAGTGTTATGGCATTTCCTGTGATGTGCGGTTGGTTTCTGATAAATTCCTTAACTACCATTTACAAGAACATAAAAATATGTAACCTTGAAGTGTCCTCATTTAAAAACATATAACCACATAAAATTGCTGTCTTGTTTTTAACTTCACAGCTGTGGAGAAGCTGAAGGAGTCCACCTCAGAGTCACAGAATAGCAACCTATGGATTATTGTTGGTGTGGCGGTCCCAGTTGCTGTAGTGCTCCTGATTGTTATTATTTTATACTGGAAACTTTGTCGAACAGACAAACTGGAGTTTCAGCCAGACACGATGAGCAACATTCAACAGCGACAGAAGGTAAAAGGGGAAGCTGTGCTGAGACGAGCTCAAGTATTCTGAGCATAAATGAATGTGAGAGTCTAGGGAACACCTAGCATCCTTAAATAGCACATGGAAACACAGTTTCAGAGCCTTCCAGTTTAAAAAAAGAAAAAGGAAAAAAATCAAATGATAGTTGAAGTCAGGAATCACGTAGTGTCTTATTTGTTCTCCTAGATATGTGATACTGCATTCAATAGATACATCCTTCTGAAATGTGGGCACTGAGGCTGAAAAGAACCTTTCTTTATCACTTCATTTTAAGGCTTTGGCTAGGACTGAATAAGAGGAAATATACTGAGTGTTGAATCACTGACCTTGTTTTCTGCAGAGGGCTGAATTTTTCTTTGAAGAGCTTCGGCTAAACTAATTTGACAGCTAAACCACACCATCCTTTATACCTCATGCTGGAACTAGAATTTGCTAGAGCCTATCCTTGCTGCTTTGTGTTCTGCCGGGTGTCTGGCATCACTGTTGTGAGAGCCTGTTGCAGAACTAGAACTTGTAATTAGTGGATCTGCATGAGACTCCATGGGTGAGTGTGCTGGCTGGAGTGTTGGTAGACTGGGTTAGAATGGTAAGAAATTCAGTAGTCTGTCGTTTTCCTGCCCAAGACTGTAAATTAAAAAAAATATGTGGTCCAGGATTTTCACAAAGGATATATTCAGTAAAAAGAGTGGAAAAGCGACTAAAGGGTTACAAATCCTACTTTTCCTTTTCACAGCTGAAGAGAAGCAGTCTGTGTGTCAGAGATGCTTATTACTGACAATAGCTTTAGAAGCATCGTTAAAGGCAAAATAATCTGCCTATACTAATTCTCTGGTAGTGTAGTCATGTTCTTCTACTGTCACCTTGTGTTCAGTCATACAGTTTTCTCCATAACAAGTCTTGCCTGTACACCATGCTCTCTTTCAAGATAATTAATGATGTGAAAGATGAGAGAAGCAGAAAGCGGTTGCACTTCCAAAGCAGTCAGAACAAATCAATAGTAACTTCCACTTGTCTTGCCACTGCAGATTGAGTGTCAGAATTGAGACTGGCAAAAAGTGATACCCTTTGATGAACTTCACCCCCTCGTACCTTGTTTCACCTGTGCTGTGGTGATACGTTACAGAAATTGTGATTGAAGAGTTCCCCACAGTAGTTTCAGTTAATTTGAGAAGGGTCATACAAAAAAGGCAAGAGGGGATCATTACCCTTGGTATGCTATTTCATCACATACATTTTTGGTACCTCTCTGCTGTCACAAGGTTTTTGTAAGAAAGCGGTTGGGTTGAGTCTGAGACCAGAAACATCTTTCATAGGTTTACTTTCTCTTGGGAAAATAGCTCAGTTGTTTTCTCCAGTCTTCATTTTATCATTCATGAGTCAGAAGCCTTGGACTTATTTGTATGCAAGTCTCGATTCAGTTCACCCAGGGAGCCTGCCACTTTGCCTTCCTTAGGGATGTAAGATGTAAGCAAACTAGAAAGAACCAGTAAGGACATCTAGTCCAGTCCTTGTGCCTGTGGATGGCTTATACGTTAAAACTAAATGAGGTAAAGCAATAAAAAGTGTCTTAAATTTTTATCACTGAGCACATTAAACAACTGTTAGAAGCTACTTTAAAGCCATTTCCCTCCTTTGCCCAAAATCCAGAAAAAAGTAGTACTCTGGCTTCCTTAGTAGTGGGCTATCTTTGGGCTTTCTTCATGTCTTCAAACAGTGGCTTGGAATTCCAGGTCAGAATAGGGCATATTTGACAAGCACTGAATACCCCCAGATAGTCACAACAGTGTACAAATGATTAGGGACATTTAGTCTGGTCCTGCCTTTTAAAATTGTTTGAGGTTTTTATATTTCTTATTACAGTAAATGCCAAGAAATTATCAAAGGAGGGAAATCATGTGGTCAGTGATGTAGGTCTGTAAATAAACTCAATTTTAAAATGGACTTAGGCTCCCCCCTCCTCACCTCACCTGCAGTTATTTCTATTCCCTCTTTACAGAGCTTGACTTTGGTACCAAAGGAAAGTGAAAACCTTCACTGCATCTCTAAATGGAAGGATATTTAGGTTAAAGATCTGGGGTTTTCTCTTGGCATCAATATTTCATTGGTAAAAACCATAAAGATACATTTATAGTGCTACCTCTTCTCACTTCCATTAATCTTTTAAAAATTTCTATTTTTAATGTAAATATAGAAATGGAATGAATAAATAACAAAGTATTTCATTAACATATGCATGGCGTAGCCATACTGGAAATAGCAGACAGTTCTTTTCAACTATGTAATAAGTCTACAATATGTCTTGCACTTGAAAATGTGTGTTGGTTGGAAGATGCAGAAACTTGACACACTCTTTTCTTGTTCAGATGAAATATGGTATCATTCTGCACTGGTGGATCTCCAGAGGTATCACCAGTCTTTTTTTCAGTGTATTTAATTAGCCATTTTAACATAGCGGATCAGTGGGCAGCGTAATAATCTGTTAGAATTCACAGTAGCGGCTGACAGGAAATTATGTCACCTGTGACTTAGCCTGGAACAAGGTTGGGAGTGGGATGAGGGGAAAGCCTGTTTGCTTCATACTGATAGGGA